AAAAAAACACATTGTGGAAAGAAAGTAATAACATTAATGCATCGTTACATCTATTTTACACTATAACAGTGCTTCATTTCATATTTGGGTTTTATGAATTCAATTAAAAATTCTATCCTAATAAAATAATTTTATAACAATATTTTGAAGTTAATTTTCCAAGCAGTAGGATTCATTGTATTTGAAATACATTCCTTAAACATGTGATATTTTATAAAGCTGCTTTTATACATTAGATTTTAACATACAACTGTCTCTTCCTTGCACTATTACATGTTAACCTTAGTGATGACTTTTAAAAGCACCCCTGGATTACCCATTGATGTGCCCCAATTCAATATTAGGACAGCAAGAAAACTAATATGTTCATGTTTATATAGCTCTCATTAGGGCATCATTTCTCTGGGTTAAAAATTTTAAAAAAGGTATGAAAATCTGATTTAACTGGTTTAAAGGCATCAAAGCATGATTCTAAATATTATTATTCTATTTTAAATTCCAAATCACAGGAATTTTGTTAGGGAAAGTGGAAATGAAAGGAAGAATTAAGTCCATACATGCCGAAGTTGTCACCGTATAAGGTAATGAAGACACCCTGGTCCTTGCCTCACTGCTTCCCTATCTTCTCTGCTCTTCTCTGTCTCTGTGTGTGTGTCTCTCTCTCAGCTTTTCTTTCAAGATCTGCTTCTCTGTCTCTATGTTCCTTGTCTCAGTCTCTTTGTCTCTGTGATGCTATGTCTACAATCTGTCCTCCTGTTTTCTATCACTCTTTTTCATTTTCCCACACATAGCTGTGATAACGTTAACAGAGGAAATAAGATTAAACTAAAAGCTAGTATGGTTCTGAATTACATTCATCAATTTGTCTAAATCACAGATCTCAAATTCCTGTATTTTCAGGGGCTCAGCAGGTCACATAATTGAGGAGGAGGACTATGTGGAGATTGTGATGAACTGAGAGGGAAGAATCCCTCTGAAGGGGCACTGCCACAGCTTGTGGGAAAAGAGGGCTCAGTGTCACTAAATATTTTAATTCCTCAAAAGAGGACGAAGGTTTTGCTTAACATCTCCCAATTTTTCAATGCTGGCAACCAATTCAAATGATTAAAAAAAAAAAAATGTGAAGGTTAAACAAAACAAATATGTGGGCCAAAATTTGATCCATCATTTGTAATGCCCAAATTATGGCAGAACCACCTAAAAGTGGTTTACCCTTTACTTTCATTTTTAAATATGTCACAGTGATTTATTTTCTGGGTGAGTATTTAAATAAACATCAAAAAAGTATAATAAAGACATTTAATCTGCTTATAAATTATAATAATTATTACCACACGTGTGTTCATGGTGATGCTAGTTTTGTACAAATGAGTCTCATTACCTCCAGATCTAAACTTCTCTTCAAAGCTGAATGAAGTTCCATGCTGATGGTTCCATCAGCATTGCAGGGATTTTAGGGTAACTACTGTGGCATAAAATGTCTCTCTCATCAATTATACTTTCCAGGAGTATGTTTGGAAGTGTTTAAAGTAAACCTTTGTAGTGTTAGCTGGAAAGTTTTATAACTTTCTGGCAAATCTGCTATACATTTGACAGGTTCATTAGAACCAATCTATTGACTAATTAAGAGTCCCTTGGTGGTATTGCAAGTGGTTAAGGCACTCGGCTGCTAACTGCCAGAGAAAGGCCTGGTGATTTAAAAAAAAACAGTCACTGAAAACCCTCTGGAGCACAGTTCTACTCTGACGTAGACACAGAGTCACCACAAGTCAGAATAGACTCGAATGCAACTTGTTATTGATTAACTACTTGAATAAAATTCTCTGCAGTACAAAAACAATATTTTTTTCAGTTTATTTGACTAAAGAGGATCTCACAGTCCTTCATTTTATTTCATAGGCTTTCATTGCAAGGGCATATTAGACAACAATCAGACACCAAGAGGGAAAACACTGTGCTTTATTCAGTAGGCCTAAGACCAAGAATTCATCTCTACAGAGTCTCCACTCGAAAAGTTCTGAGATGTTATAAAATCCTTTCATGTGATGCATAGTTATGGTACATTACCTGTATTTTGTTTATTGCTCCAAGTGAGTCATACCATGTTTGCACAGCCCAGGGGAATTGCCGCGTGACGGCCATGCGCAGAACAATGCAGAATGAGATGGTGGTGAATATTTTTCGAAGGATGATTCCTTTGAGCAGGGCATAAGGTAGCACAGAGAAAAGCACAACAAAGAACCCTGAGAAGAAGAAGGCTGAGCTGTTGAAGTATCTCACATAGGCTGCCTTCCGAGTTAGTCTCAGCTCTGTTCTATGAAAAAATAAACAAATAACATTCGGGATGCCATTTTACTGTTCAAATATCAAGCATCTTGCAATGTAAAATCTGAGCATGGGCTGCAGAATCATTCCACCTGTGTTCTGGTCCTGGTTCCATCCTATATGAGCTGTGTGACCTTGGAAAAGTAACTTAACGTCTCTGGACCTCAGATTATCTATCTGAAAGGGGCATGGTAATGAACACACCATCCTCTTGGACATAATACCTGTAAATTGTATTTTTTAATTGTTATTGATATTCCAATTTTTAGCAATATTACTATTATTTGAGTATGTTATTTCCTTATGCACTGTTAATAATTTTTAAGATGTGTGAGATTGGTCATTTGTGTTGGTTGGTTGATGTTTTAAGTAAGTGTGAAAATGAGGACAATATTGCAAAATTTACACAGGAAAACACAACTCTGTGATTATCTAATGGATTCTTTTTAAAACTTTTCCTTGTGATTTGGGTGAAAGTTTACAGGACAAATCAGTTTTCCACTTAACAATTCACACACGTTTTGTTTCATGTCACTGATGGCAATCCCTCAATGTCACATCACTCATCCCACTTCCTCCCTGCCTAATGGATTCTTGACACTTTAGAAATTCTAGCTTAGCATTGGGGGACACTGAAAACAACATATAAACCATGAGGAGTGGTTCTCAAACCTTAACCCATTGCCGATGAGTCAATTCCAACTCGCAGTGACTCCACGTGTTATAGAGTAGAACTGTTCCATGGGGTTTTTGTAGCTGTAATCTTTATGAGGCGCTCTGGTGGTGCAGAGGTCAAAAGCATTAGGTTGCTAACCAAAAGGTTGGTGGTATGACCCACCAGTGCCTCTGTGGGAAAAAGGGGAGGTAGCCTGCTTCTGGGAAGATTCACAGCCTTGGAAACCCCATGGGGCAGTTCTACTCTGTCCTAGGGTTGTTATGAGTCGGAACCCACCCATGGGCAGCAGGTTTGGTTTTTTCCCCTAATCTTTACAGAAGCAGATTGCCAGCATTGTCTTCCCATAAGAAGCAGCAGTGACACAGACAGATGGTTCAGGTGGGAGGGAGCAATGGCTGTGCCTTGGCCTAGTGCAGGGGATGCCAGGCACATGGGCGTCAGGTTCACAATGTCTGTATAATTTACTTCAAAAGAGCAATTCTCATCCTCAAGTGCAGAGCTGAGAGGAAATCTTCTTTTGAAGGTTTAAAAACAAAACAAAACAAAAAAGGTAATCCTGAGCACACTGGTGAAGGACATGGATTTCAATGTGCCCAACCTAGATCGTGACTCATGGTCTAAGGTTCACACAGTTCAATAATGTGATATAGAGGACAAATTATGAGTTGGGAATCTAACCTGCCAGTTACTAGTTATGCTAGCTGAAGCAAATTGTTCTTCCCTCTGATTTTATAGAATCCACATCTATAAAAAAGGGAGCACAGCACCTCCCTTATAGAGCTGTTGTCAAGATTAAATGGCAGCACAGCAGAGGGCCTGGCATTTAATCAGAATCTACAATGTGTTTCCTTTCTTATCAACAGAAGAAAGAGTAGTCTTAACTCAAATCCAAACTCACTGCCATCAAGTCAATTCCAACTCATAATGCTCATTGGGTTTCCAAGGCTGCAAATCTTTACAGTTCCCAGGGCTGTAAATCTTTACGGAAGCAGACTGCCTCATCTTTCTTCAGCTGGTACATTCACACCACTGATCTTTTGGTTAGCAGCCAAGTGCCTTAACCACTGTACCACCAGGTCTCCCTTAGTAGTGTTGACTACGCTGATGTTAACAAAATGCTAGAAAATGCTATTTATAAAAAAATGTTATCAAAATTGTTAAAATGGAATATACTAAAATAGTCAAGAAAAATAGAAGTTGCACTACAAGAAAAGGATAACATATCTTGGGAAGAGAGCAAGAACATTTATAAGAATCACCCAGAGAGCAGTTCTTTCCATAATAAAGTTACTAACACTTTATGAGTCATAAAAAATATTTTATCAGTTTCTTATTAAAAAAAAAAAAAAAGGAAAGTGTCTTATATTACCAAAGGGCAATAAAAGTAGATTTGCAGGGAGTTTTGTACAGCCTTTTGCCTGGTTTAACAGTGACTTGGGCCAGAAATCATTCCTTTGAAGCGCATCCTGCCAGTCTCTTCGAGAACATTGTATTTGCTCTCTCGAGTAGAAGCAATTCTTACTTTCCCATATTTACGTCAGCACTTTCCAGCCTTTTCAGGTAACAATTTCATGTGAGATTGAGGAACTGGATTGTACAAGTTATAGCTAAACATTTGCTATTAAAACTGGTCTTACAGAAAATACACAGGAGAAAGAATGGATTTCATATTTTGAGGAAGCAAAAAAGCCTCAAATCAAGACAGGTCAACACCAGGAATAAGCTGGCCCTGAGTTTATTGTGAGGCCTGAGAAAACCTCCTTGTCTATGACCCCCTCGGAGCTCTATGACCCTATACTCACAGGAACAAGAGCAAACAAGGAATTGGACACTCGCTGTTAATGAAAGCAACAACGTCTACCAACTAAACAACTCCCCAAGACCTTTATGGATGTTCTGGAAGGAAAACGCCATTCCTTTCCTGGATTTTCCATGAAAGGCATAACAACAACAGGTGACCAATAAGTGTGTTGGGGAAATAAATACTCTTTGACTCTTTCTATTTACATGGCAAAAGACTTAACATTTCAGCATCTCGTTTGTTGTTCTAATCACACACCTGCAGTTCAGTTACCATCATCTCCTGGAAGCAGCAGACTGAGTTCCTAATAACCTATCCACACCACCCCAAAAGAGACTCTTCTTTTGGTATATTTTTCCCTGTCTCATGTACTCTGCGTCCTGAACGTACTTATTCCTTTGACAGACTTCCTTGAAACAGTTTGTCTACCTGAGCTAAGTCTCCTAAAGTCTTTTTTTAAATTATTTATTGCAGTTTGTATAACATGGAATTTGACTAAAGAAGAATGGTCTCATGGCCACAGAAATGCCCACCTTTAAATTCTGCCCAAGACTAGCTTAGTAAATACCTCAGTCTGTACTGTACTTTTTTTCACTGAATGTAAGCTTTACTAATCAGTGAAAGAAAGGTTATCTGAGGCGAAACACAAGTAGACACAGATGCGAAGTACTGATTCTATTTTATGAGGTGACTTTGATTACTTGAGTCCATGAGTCTTTAAGTGGAGGGTTTATAGGAATTCAGTTTACAGATTATCCCTAATTTAAGAAAGAACAAATGCATTTTAATCAAAGGGAGGTTTGTGGGTTGTTGTGTTTTTTTTAACTAGTTTGACTGATCACATAAATTAAATGACATGCAATAATAGAGAGTCATTTATTTGATACAAAACCATATACTTACTTATTCTAGCTGGTCCATATAAGGTTTCAATCAATTTATAGTATCATGATCATTATTTTAATCAATAAAGTATATTCCAAAAACCAAACCAAACTCCCTGCCATCGAGTCATTTCTGACTCATAATGAACCCCACTGGGTTTCCAAGGCTGTAAATCTTTACAGAAGAAGATTGCCCCATATTCTGTGGAACAGCTGGTGGGTTTGAATAGCTGACCCTCCAGTTAGCAGTCAAGTGCCTTATCCACTACACCACCAGAGCTCAGCTATAAATACATGTAGGAGATTCTTATAATGTAAAAAGTGTGAATGTTCTTGTAATGCAAAGTAACACAATCAACTACACCTAAAGAAAGTCATGACTAGCCAACTAATGAATGAATATTAATATTAATATCAATAAATACAATTGGCTACTTGTCAGGAACTCCTGAATAAGAGCTGAAAGCCCACTGTGACATCTCTAATTTTAAAATGAAATTGCTATAGACCCCGAAATTAGGAAAATGGCTTACTGTCTTAGATTTTCGATCATTTTTTCCATTGCTTCCTCCCAGCAGTATGCCTTCACAGATTGGATATTTTCAATCATTTCAGAGGTGATCACAAGTCTTTCATTGATCTTTCCAGCTCTCTTATCTCTGTAAATGAATGAATGAATGAATCTGATATTTAGTAAACACAAGTCAAATCATTCATTAAGAAATGCTCACTCTTTTAAGAAAAAAAAATCACATTTTTAATTAAATAGATGAGTATGTATTTAATTATCAAGTAGATGGCAACAAAAGTAATAGCTACCATCTAGTAAATGCCTCCCATGTGCTAGACACTGTATTAGATCATTCCATGCATTTTCTCTAATCCTCATAGGGTTTCTAAGGCTGTACATCTTTATGGAAGCAGACTGCCACATCTTTCTACCACAGAGCAGCTGGTGAATTTCCACTGCCAACCTTTCGGTTAGCAGCCGAATGCCTTGATCACTTCATCATCAGCATTCCTTACCCTCTGATATTTATTTACACCATTACAATACTTCCTTTTTAGTTGTTGTTGTTGTTGTTGTTGTTGTTATGTGCCGTTGAGTCAGACCCAACTCATAGCGACCCCTCCTTGGGTTTCCGAGGTAGTATCACTACAGAAGTAGATTGCCCATCTTCCTTCTGAGGAGTGGCTGGTAAGTTGGAACTGCCAGCCTTCTGGTTAGCAGTCAAGTGCCTTAGGCACTATGCTACCAAGCTCCCTCCTTTTTAGTTGTTGTTGTTGTTGTTGTTATGTGCCGTCGAGTCGGCCCCGACTCATAGCGACCCCTCCTTGGGTTTCCGAGGCAGTATCACTACGGAAGTAGGATTGCCCAACCTTCCTTCTGAGGAGTGGCTGGTGGGTTTGAACCACCAGCCTTCTGGTTAGCAGTCAAGTGCCTTAGCCACTATGCTACCACCCAGTAAATTATGCACAGTGCATATAGCAGTCCTGGTTTCAGGAGTGTGGGCGTTTGAAAAATCTAACTGAAAATACTTTTGAGTTTGGAAAGCAGGATGTTACCTGTACTTCATCATCATTCTTCCTAGTCCAGCTTGTACAAGGGCAAGGACTATCAGGAAAGCAAGCCCGCAGAAGGCGGAGGCCTGCAGCAGCTCCCACAGCAGCCCCATCAGAAGCAGCACCTGTAAAGGAGCGATCCACACGAAATGTGCCAGTGCAAGTCCCTGGAAAAGAAAATCACAGCCAGCAACAGCGGCGCTTGATCCTCCATCCCGAAAACAAACACACACATAGGGAAGAATCACAAGGGTCTAGGGACTTAATCCAGTGATAGTTCCCCAGATGTTCACAGATTATGATTCCAACACAGTATTCTGGCCTCTTTACTCTTTGTGGCACATCAAGTGTATGGTTGTCGGTATGTATGTAGTCACATAACATAAATATGCAACAAACAAGTGCATCCATAAATGAGTATTCATCGATTTTCATTCTATCTGTATTATCCAGTATTTAGCTACTACTTAGGAGTCATTATTTGCCTCACTGTGGTCTCCAATCTGCTGATTTGGGGTATTAAATGATCCCAAAACAAAAAATAAATGTTGCCATCGAGTGGATTCTGACCCATGATAACCCCATGTGTTATAGAGTAAAACTGCTCCATAGGGTTTTCTTGGCTGCAATCTTTACAGAGGACAGTGGTTAAAGCTCAGCTGCCAACCAAAAGGTTGGTTGTTCAAACACACCATGGGAGAAAGACATGGCAGTCTGCTTCTGTAAAAACTAACAGCTTTTGAAATCCTGTGGGACTGTGCTACTCTGTCCTATAGGGTCACTATGAGTCAGAATCAATTCAATGGCAGTAGGTCTGGTGGGGTTTTCTGGTTTTTTTTTTTTTTTTTTTTGCTTTTAATCTTTCCAAAAGCAGATAACCCCATCCCACATGTTCCTCACTGCTACACACCAGTTGAGAGTGTTTGCTATATGATGTTAATACCCCTTATAATAAATCTTTGTCAAAACTAAAAATAAACCAAAATAGTCCTAAATGCTCATTATGTGGAATATATAGCAATGTGTGTATATATTCTACACATAGAGTAAGATTTCCCAAGGAATAAATTTCAAGTCACCGTATTTTTTAGTATACATATATGTATTTATTCAGTGGAACTGAGTTTGGATTTCTTAGGTATCTTGTCAATAATTTATTTTAAATAACTTACTAGTAGTTGAATAAAGCAAGAACCATGATATAGATCACATTGTATAGACAAAGGGCTCCCCAGAGCCTCAAAATACACAACCCTGCAATCCTCTATCACCTGACAGAATAATCCACAATAAATGCATACTTAGTTCAACAGTAATTTCTCTAGCACCTGCTGTGGGTTTAATATTATGTTAAATACTAGAAATGCAAAAACAAATAAAACATATTGTCTGTCCTCAAGGACCTTGCATTTATCACAAGACAGCACTGAACCAGAATTTCTCAGAGTATCATATTCAGCCAAAGTAAATAACTGATTTAAAGGAAACCAGATCTGATGAGGACTGCGTTTTGAGAAACCTTACTAAATACACAGCAAGCTGGGGTATCTTGGATCTGGGGGCGGAGGGGTCCCACAAGACCCCAGAATGCCACTTAGCTAGACAATTTAGCTTTCTCAGTTTTCTGAAATAAGGCAAGTAGGAATGAGTGCAACTTAACCATCCACTGCTCCACATTTTAATTTATGATTTACAAAAGTAATGATTAAAAGATTAAATTGGTAAATACATACTTCATCAAATTTGTTCAGGTTGTTGGAAAGGAGACTAACAAGTTGTCCAATACTTATTTTATCTAGAACACGGCTTGACAGCTTTAAGGTCTAAAAGAAAAATGGGAAGTTAGATGCCATCGACAAACAAAAGACAAATATATTTGTAAGTAACATTTTTATACAGCTGAGAAATTAGGTGACTATGCATGCATTTTGAAGTAAAACTAAGGAAAATTATTATGTCCATTTAGCTTAATATCTTCTCAGATTTTTTTTTCACATCATGTATTATACTGGCATGCCTCATGCCTCTATTTTATTTTCCAGCATATAGAAAGCAATATTTTCTCTCCTTCACAATGGCAATGATATTGTACTTAAATATCCATAAATAGTTTTTTTTAATGAAAGATGGAACCAAAAAAATATGAATTTAAAATCTTGCCCTTAAGTTTGTCATGCAGTCTATACAAATTCTGTTGAATAAAATTGCTGTTAAAGTCAAAAAAGCATATCACAAATAATTGAATTATTAGCAATTTTGTGAAACATTATATTAACACAAAACCTTTAAGTTTGATAAAGAAAAATACAATTGTATGTACAAAATGGAGTTAATTGTTAAGTCTAATTTAATCATGATTATGAATGGTCACAGTAATGACCTGACTATAAAATTTAATAAGAATTAATTTGCCATTGGGTGACTTTAGAAAGTATCCATTTAACATTTGTTTCAATTCAATTCCTCATATATTTACTTAGCACTTAGCAGGTGCAAATTAATGTGACCAATGCTTCAGGAATTATTATTAATATTTATGAAAACATAGTTCTTGCCTCCAGGCAATCTAGTGCATAAATAATTACAATACGATATGACAAGTGAGTTAAGGGAAGCACAAGATAATAGAGTGGTTAATAAAAAGGTCACACATCTGGTTAGAAAAACCTGGAAAGATTTCATTAATGAGGTAGAATTTGGAAATGAATCTGGAATAATGAATAAGGGTTAGACAAGCAGAGAAGAAGGAGGAAGCAAAGCAGTTAGTTAATCCCAAAACATTATCAGAACCATCTGAGGAGGAAAAAAATCCATGGAGGTGGATTGACATGAGTTAGTAGCAATCAGAAGCCTGATGGGGTGACTTTGAGTTCTCCATGGGCCTTAATATGGAGCTGTGTCCACAGTAAGCATCCAGATATTTAGATATCTCTATGTTCCCAAGATTCATAGCCAAAGCTTAATTTAGTTTGTGCATAGATTGGCTATTTTAAATGTATCTTGCATATTATCATAGTTACTGGGTTTTGGATCAAAGTAAAACATGTTCTATTACAAAATTTTGGAATATTGTAGGGAGGGTTAGAGAGACTGCCTAACATGAGGATGAAATTGGCCAGATAGGAAAATGATAAGATCTGAGAAGAGCCAAGAAAGTCTCACTTTAGCAACCCAAACAGCACCGCACAGAGAGGCCTCTTGCATTCTTTGGTGATGAAATCAAAGTAGGACAAAAAGCGTGGGTAGAGAAATAAAACAAAATGGCTAAGAACACATATTGAAGGGTGAGAACAAAGAACAAATACCATAATGCCTAACTTGTCATTAATGCTTTCTGGGTCTGAAATACATGGCTGTATTTGTGCTGAATGTTACACACAGACTTGTTCACCAACTAACCTGCTCTATGTATTCTCCTGTCCCTTTGTTGTTGTTATGTGCCATCGAATCGGACCCGACTCATAGCGACCCCTCCTTGGGTTTCTGAGGCAGAATCACTAAGGAAGTAGATTGGCCAACCTTCCTTCCGAGGAGAGGCTGGTGGGTTTGAACCTCTGGCCTTCTGGTTAGCAGTCAAGTGCCTTAGGCACCTCTCTCTTCCTGTTTAACAGCCTGCTTTATTACTGTTATTTCAGTTTTCATTTTATTTTCCATAGTAATTAGAAAACCTTCCACTCTGGAAATCGTATTTCCCGCAGTTTTTGCACAATTTTCTTTACTTTTTAGATCTTAGAGTTCTTATCTATGAAATAGGGATACTCATAGCCATGGAGTCAATTCCGACTCATGGCAATGCTACAGGACAGAGCAGAATTGCCCCCATAGGGTTTCCCAAGCTGTAAGCTTTATGGGAACAGACTGCCACATCTTTCTCTGTGGAAAAGCCGGTGGGTTAGAACCACTGAACTTCCAGTTAGCAGCCAAACACTTAACCACTGTACCACCAGGGCTCCTTAATAGGGATAATGTTGTTGGTGTTGTTATGTGCCATTGAGTCGGACCCGACTCATAGCGACCCCTCCTTGGGTTTCCCAGGCAGTATCACTATGGAAGTAGATTGCCCCATCTTCCTTCCGGGGAGTGGCTGGTGGGTTTGAACCGCCAGCCTTCTGGTTAGCAGTCAAGTGCCTTAGCCACTATGCTACCAGAGCTCCCATAGGGATAATAGCAGCTACCATATGGAATTTAGGGGAGGATTAAATAACATAATAAACTTAAATTACTTAGAAGCATATCATGCATACTATTAGCTTCCAATATTATTTTTATAGGATGTACTTCTTAATAAATATTTGATGGTATCCAACTTTCCTTGATACACAAGCTGTGTAAGGTCTATCTTCCAAATTGTTGTTGTTGTTATTAGATGCTGTTGCATCAGCTCCAACTCGTGGTGACCCCGTGTATAACAGAAGGAAATGATGTCCGGTCCTACACCACCCAACAGTCCTTGCTATGTTTGACACCATCATCAGAGCCATTCCATCTTGTGGAAGGTCTTCCCCTTTTTTGCTGACTCTCTACTTTACCAATCATGGTATCCTTCTCCAGGGACTGGTTCCTTCTGACAACATGACCAAAGTAGGTGAGACAAAGTCTGGCCATTCTCACTTCTAAGGAGCACTCCAGCTGCACTTGCCAGGACAGGTTTGTTCATTCTGCTTGTAGTCCATGATATATTGAATATTTTTGCCAACACCACAATTCAAAAGCATGAATCCTCTTTCAGGCTTCCTTATTCATTGTCCAGCTTTAGCATGCATATGAGTCTACTGAAAGTACCATGGCTTGGGTTAAGCACACCTTAGGCTTCAAAGTGACATCTTTGCTCTTTAACACTTTAAAGAAGTCTTCTGTAGCAGTTTGCCCAGTGCAATAAGACAACTGATTGTTTGACTGCTGCTTCCATTTTCATCTTTTCTCCATTTATCATGATGTTGCTTAATGGTCCAATGTTGAGGATTTTTTTTTTTTTTTTTTTTATGTTAAGGTGTAATCCATATTGAAGACTGTAGTCTTTGATCTTCATCAGTAAGTGCTTCAAGTCATCATCACTTTCAGCAAGCAAAGTTGTGTCATCTGCATATTGCATATTGTTAATGAGCCTTCCTCCAATCCTAATGCCACATTCTTCTTCATATAGTCTAACTTCTGGGCTTATTTCCTCAGTATACAAATTGAGTAAGTAGGGTGAAAGGATACAACCCTGACACACACCTTTCCTGATTTTAAACCATGCAACATCCCCATGTTCTGTTTGAACGACTGTCTCTCGTCTGTCAGTTTGTCATACCGTGGTGGCTTGCATGTTGCTGTGATGCTGGAAGCTATGGCACTGGTACTTCTAATACCAGAACGGTCATCCATGGACAACAGGTTTCAGTGGTGCTTCCAGACTAAGACAGAGTGGGAAGAAGGACAGGGGTATCCACATCTGAGAAAACTGGCCACTGTAAACCTTATGAATAGCAGTGAAACACTGTCTGATATATTAGCCTCCAAATTAGGCCTCATAATGTCTTCACTCAGAAAATTCCAAAAATTTCTGGGCCAAATGAAAATTTCTGTTTATTTATTACTGTTATTTTCCTGATACCTGTGAATTGATGAAATTGCAGCTGAGTTGATTTGATTAAACTGTAGACTCTATTTTTTTGTGTGCCTCCATAAAAGACTTTTTTGAACAATAAAATATTGTTGTCAAGGTTTTACGACACAATTGACCTTGCACATAAGTTATGGAAGTCCTATGTGTTATTTGCTAACGGTAAATTTCAGATCCATTGTCCTTATAAGTCAAGTACATAAAGTTTTTACATTGGAGGAATTAAAAAAAAAAAAAAGGCGGGGTGGTAAACCATTATCCAAATGTTCAATCAAAACAGCTTTCTACAATGACTTGGCAGATCCAAGCAGTGACAAGTACTGCTGAATCAGGTTGATGGGAGCAGATACCATTAAAATGGCCTTAAATCCTGTTTGTAAGGTAACTAAGTCTTAGGCTGAATTCTGCTAAATCAAATATCAGTAACTTGGGCTCTTGTCTGGATAACACATACCAAAAGTGGAGTGTATTTTATGGCTGCAATGCATAACATAAATCTAACTCAGAATAAGGCTGTGGGTACCACCATTGTGTCAAAACTAGTAAATAGGTGGAAATTTTTATTGCTTAGGTTATCATTAACAATTACGTATTATCTTCTTGCTATTGAATATGGCATTTTACTCTAAGATGGTATTTTGTCCTTAAGTTTTATGCAAACTCTGAGAGTCATTTTAATGGGAAGTGATGAATCCCAAAAATGATGACATAACTAGTGATTAAAGCAAAAATGAAATCTACAATATAAGAAGTACTCTAATTATTAGTTGAAGTGAAATTTCTTTATCAAGGAGAATAAGAAATATTAATTATTCCTTCCATTTATTTCATAAGCATCAGTTACCAATTAATTTCAGCATTTATTCCTTCCTTTTCCCAGCTTCACCACCTTATACATGGTGTTCAAAACATGATGCTACTACATGTATCTCGGAGACTGGGCAAGAAAATATCATTACCTTCTTATAAATCAAACTGAACAAAGCTATTCTCATCTGCATTCCAATGTGATGGAGGCCAAAAATGGCAGGATGCAGGAGCAGCATCCTTACAATGAAAAGAAGACACAAGCCTACGCCCAAGTAAATGGCAATGGAGCGTTCCACCTTGTTATCTGGATCGTAGGAAGCTATGATTCTTCCCAGTAAGAGTGGCTGCACGGCTTTGGTGACTTCCTGCAGAAGAGAAGAAACAGAGAACACAAATTTCATTTCCCTTTTATATAATGGCTAACAATTTCAACACGAAAAGTTCCATCTTTAGTTGCTGTTGTTCATTGCTGTTGAGTGGATTCCAACTCAAAGTGACCCCATGTGTGCAGAGTAGAACTGCTCCATTCTTAAGGCTGTGGCCTTTCAGAAGCAGATCACTTATCTTTAGAAAACTACTCATTGCCTTCAAGTCGGATCCGACTCATAGCACTCCTTCCCTGGGTTTCTGAGGCACTATCACTACGGAAGTTGATAGCCCAGCCTTCCTTCTGAAGGACTTAAAAGCTGACTTACACAGAAGGCCATACCATACTTGAAACCCCTGATGTTATTTTTGATACCTTTATATTTTGGAATACCAAACCAAAAAACAAACTCACTGCCTTTGAGTAGATTTGATTCAGCAAACCCTCCTTGGGTTTCCAAGGCAGTGTCTCTATGGAAGTGGATTGCCCAATCTTCCTTCCAAGAAGTAGCTGGTGGGTTTAAACCGCCAGCCTTCTGGTTAGCAGTCAAATGCCCTAGGCACTATGCCACATGGCTTTTGGTTGTAGCAAAAGTCATTTATTTGGAGACAAGTTTATGGATAAGCTGAGTGCCTGAGTACTTTTTTAATGAAAACGATATAGCGGCTATAAAGTAAAGGTGTGGTTTTTAGAGTGGTTTATTAACTATTAACATCCACAAAGTACTTAACAGTTTATTAAAGATCTTTGCCTTTAATTTTCATGACAACTGTAGGAACTAATACAGACATTATTATCCTGACTTCGCAGAGGAAAAATCGGAGGCTAAAGAGACCAAGTGAGTTGATATAATTTCAAAGCAGGACTTTTGAAACTCCTTTGAGCAATGACACTATTTCCAAAATGAATATAGCTTCTCAGAACAAGAAGAGCTGGCAACAGGTAGGGAAGAAGCCCACACTAAATTCTAAAAACCAAACTCACAGCCATCGAGTCAGATCCGACTCTTAGAGACCCCTTTTTAGGTTTCCGAGGCAGTATCACTACGGAAGTAGATTGCCCAAACTTCCTTTTGAGGAGTGGCTGGTGGGTTTGAACCACCAGCCTTCTGGTTAGCACTCTAATGCCTTAGGCACTACGCCATCAGAGGGGCATTTAAATATAGTCTCTTGCAGTATTATTAACTTTCAAGTCTAGATATGAAGAGACTTCAGTGAAGGAGGTTGCCAGCAGACTTCAAACTCAGGCCAGTTTCCATGATGCATCAACTCCTCTATGTCTGTGAATCAGTGAGGAAGGACCCTAGTTGTGTTTCCCAAAGCAACTTATGTTGTTGTTGTTGTTGTTATATGCCCGTTGAGTCAGATCCGACTCATAGCAACCCCTCCTGGGTTTCCCAGGCGGTATCACTATGGAAGTAGATTGCCCAATCTTCCTTCCGAGGAGTGGCTCGTGGGTTTGAACCGCCCCCCTTCCGGTTAGCAATCAAATGCCTTAGACACTAGCTAACAGAGTATATCCTTAATTGACTGCTCGCCCATGTTTCCTATTTAATATGTGACCACTTCTCCTGAGTATGTAGAAACAGACCAGAACCCAAAGAATTGAACCCAGGTTGTCTAACTCTTACCCATCTTGCTAAGCTACCTTCACATAGGAAAGACAAGTGAAAGAGGGATCTCATGCTGAACTCTCCACAGAAAGGATGTTACACTAATTGGCTCCATTTCAAATTTGTATTTTCAAGCTTGGTGTGTCCCCAGAATCGCCCAGCAATATTCTTCCTTATTCCTTAATCTAGTTTTCCCTTTCCCCACAATACATTTTCTAATCCTCAAGTGCCCGATAACACCAGCCCCTCATTCTCAAGAGACGACTATTTTTTATGTGTGTGTGTGTGTGTGTTAACTTGATCTCTTTACATCCTCACAAAGAATCTTAGTGTGTATACAGCCTAGCTATTCCTTCCAGTGCATTGCTAGTACCAGTTGCCATTGAGTTCATTTGGACTAATGTGTGTCAGAGTAGAATTGAGTTCCACATGGTTTTCAATGGCTGACTTTTTCAAAAGTAGATCACCAGGCACCTCTGAGTGGACTCAAACTCCCAGTCTTTTGGTTAGTAGCCAAGTATGTCAACTGTTTGCACCACACAGGAACTCCATATCCTAGATATGACTGTCATCATTGACCACTGACTTGTATAGCAGCTCATTCTGTATTTTATACACAGTACTTCACTTCAAATTAACTGTGTAGACCAAGGCTCTGAATGTAATGAAGGAAGATTCAAACCTTTAAAGTATCCAAACTTATCACAAAAATGGATGTGATAGTTCTCTCATCTCACTATAGCCATATTTTAAATACATTTGACCACAAGTGCTAAAAATAAAATCCCTTACCTCCTACTCAGACAGAACATATTAATAGTTGGCCATATTTGCCAAAGAGCACTTGTTTTTTTTAAAATATATATATATATTAGTGCAGAAAAGACCACTTGAGAGCATGTATCATCTTATGCATACTTTGCACTTTTATTACATGTGCATGCATCCTTAGGATTTATGTAAGGAATTGTTTCTGAGGTTTCAAATATTACATAAATGGTATCATACCATGATTTTTCCCAATTTCTCCCCTCTTCAACGTTGTGTTTTGACATTTATCCCACTGATATCCATACAAATATGTCACTTATTCTGGAACTGTTTAACATTCTTTTATATGAATTAATTAGGTCATTTGCCCATTGCTCTACTCTGGGTAGTGACATCTTTCCACATTGACTGAATTGTTTTTTGGTTGCAATTTATAACAAAATAAGTAAAATTTGGATTAATCTAAATGTGACACTTGTTTCATATAAAACAGTATTCAATAATGACAGTATATAAAACAATATACTGTCATTACTGAATTAGTTGTCATCCCACTCAAACCAAAAGAAGACAACAATGGACAACAATGGCCATTTCACAGAGACACTGGTAATATTATCCTGGAAGGGCACGTATTTATCGGAAAAAAAATGAAGTTTATTTTTGGTAGAGATAAGTCCAATAATAGGACCACCTGCAAACAGCAAAGCAACATAAACTTCACCATAATATGAAACTGTTAACACTCAAGGACAAAATCAGCAATCCAACAACTCCCTCTTCTGTAGTTTTCACTAGTCTGTTTTAAGCAACATGTTCCCTAATATTTACAATGAAACCACTTACAGGTATCATCTGATTTTTTTATTTGGAAGAGAGAAACAATGGTAATTGATACCTAGATTAATCTACAAAGTGCAATCCTTTGTGAAAATAACCCATGAAATAACTGGGAGAAATAGAGTCCCAAATTCTTGGTATATAAATGCTTTGTGTATGTTAATGTTTTCCATTGCTGGAACTATTGCCAGAATCACAGAAATTTCATGATTTACTTCCACATGAAATAGTACAATCACACTGAGGCTTGAATGCAATGAGGAGAAGTGTACCTTTATTTGAAGATTTGAAAATCTATTTGTATTGTTTTTATAAGACACAACTCAAAATGGAATTCACATAATGGTTCTACCTTAGATAGCAGAATAAGCCTGATACCAATTTTCAACGCAGTGTGACAGTGAAATAAATACTGAAGAGTCATTCAACTTGAGTTCTTATTCTAGCACATTACCCATTCTATGTGCCACCTTAGGTACTTCACTTCTCTGGACAGTTTTCTTTATCGATAAACTGAGAAATGGGACAAGCTAATCTTTGAAGGTCCCCTCCAGTGCTAAAATCTTTGATTACACAATCTGAGTCTGGAATCCCCACACCACAGGCCAAGGAATTCTTGGTCATTATGCTAGCCCCCATCCAGCCACTACTAATGATGTTTCCACTCACAAGGATGAAGTTCTGAGCAGTGTAGATTCAGAGGACCATCCGGGTAGAGGGAGCCAGGTTAGAAACAGCTCAAGTGATTGCATTTCTAGTGGGAATAACCTTGGGTCTCAATTTTTCCAAAGAAATATTAGGAAGCCCAAAAATACCTCCTCATGCAGATATCTGGTCTCTGATATAGGATATAGGATCTCATGGGAAACTCCAGACCAGAGCTCAGTGTCACTATGGAGAGTCTAAATCCTTTAACTATACCTAGGACAAGGTTAGATTTTTCTGGGGATAGGAGCATCTGCTTTTCCTGGGTATTCAGACTACGAAGGAAATTTAAAGCAAAAATTTTAAAAACTCAATTCAGGCTTATGATTACATGAAATGAATTAATCTCCAGATAACTTTAACATAAAGATCAATTAAGTACA